GTGTCCCTGCCCGGGGCAGGGGTTGGAGCTGGAGGAGCTTTAAGCTCCCTTCAACCCAAACCAGGCTGGGGGTCTATGATTTAAAAGGCTCTGGCACCTCCTACCTGTGTGTACTTTTATATGCTGGTAAAGCGAGTTCCTCTGCGCGAACGTCCTGAAGCAAACTTCACACTTGAAGGGCTTGGAGCCAGTGTGGATTCTGTTGTGGTGTTTCAAGTACTCCTTAGAGGCAAAGCTCTTTCCACACGTCTCACACATGAAAGGCCTTTCCCCTACAGCACAGGTGAGAAGGAGAATTAACCAACACAGTGTTTGAGAAACATTCTGGCCTCGTGCATGATGTTCAACAGCAATTAGACACAAATAAAGGCCATGGCAGCCTCTCAACAGGATCTAACAGGCCACAGTGAGGAGGCACAGAAAAGTCCTGTGAGAAATCTCCACAAACCCCTCCAAGTGCAAGGACAACCCCACCTATCCACAGGTACACTCACAGCATGTGTAAAGCCCATGGATAGCTGCAGCTCATGGTCTTCTCACTGTCTCTGGAACATTCCAGCTTACTCCCACCACAAACACAACATCGTGTGCCCCCATGAAGGGCCTCCCCCTGTGAGCAGCCAGTTTCAGTCACATTTGTCTTGGAAAGCATTTGCTGGATTATATTTCATTGTAATTTAATGTTTTCTGCCATCCATGTGCGGTTACAAGTTACTGGCAGAGGACAGAACACTTCAAGATGGGTCAATCAGAGGATGCAAAGTACCACAGAGAGCTCATGGATGGTCAATCTGAACCTACAAAGGATGCCCAGGGGAAGGACATGTGCTTTTAAAGATTTCTCAGCAGCTCAGGATAAGCCAAGAGAGCTGCTTCACATCCTCTGTGCTAACTGTTCCAGACTTAGAAATCATTATTCTCTAAAGAAATCAGCTAAAAGCTTTTACTGATGACAGATCTTTGGATATCGAAGACTACTCATGATAGCCTCAGTCCTCACTTCAGGCATTGAAAAGGGAACTCCTTTTCTCCTTAATCAGCTCCTTTCCCTCTCTCCCTTCTGCCTATCCACCTGTAGGAACCTTTTCTCAGTAAAATGGTATTTAGGGGTGAGAATATGTGATTTTATAACAACAACAAAGCATTTTCTGAGTGCAAAGCGCTCTCGTGGTCTCCCAGCAGCCGCCTCCTACCCGCGGCCCGTGCAGAAGCAGCCTTACCTGTGTGGCATCGTTTGTGATAGATAAGCATGTGATTCTGAGTGAACCTGGCACCACACTCATCACAGACAAAAGGTTTTTCACCAGTGTGGATTCTGAAATGAGAAAGCAACGTTAAAGCACCAGGGTTCAGCCCTTCCCTCTGCAGCACAGCACAAGCTGCCCTCGCTCGGCGGCTGCTCTCAAAGCACCCACAGGCTGCACGTGGTTTTAGTGTCCTGCAGGAGCAAAGCCCAGATCCAGACACTTCTTTAGGGTGAAAACATATTCTTAAAGGTAAAAGTTGTTCAGAAAACCCGTATCCAGGTGAGTCCAGTTTTAATTTCCAGGCCCATGCACACATCAGCGCTCTGCTGAATGGTGCTGCAGGAACACAGCCCTCAGAGGCCAGTCTTCCTGGTGATACACATCAACAGGAGGAGCAGAGGTGTGAAAATACACACAAGAGATGAGACATCCCCAGCACAGGCTGTCAGGATACACAGGACAGGAGAGCACTGAGCTTCCAGCATTCAGCGAGCTCAGGGAGCAGTCACAGTGGTACATGATGGAGGGGAAACTCCTCTTAGGCCCAAAAATAGACTTTTAAGCAGCACAAAGCAGTTACTTGTGGTTAGGGAAGGACACCTGATGGCAGGGAGATGCCGTACAGCTGCATCAGCGACTGCGCCACAGCAGCACTACAGAAGCTGGCTTTTGGATGTGCTTTCTACCACTGGGTGTAAACCTGCTGCCTTCAGAAGGGGCAGTGAAGGGAAGCAGCAGTTAACAAACCCTTCACCCTGCAGGAAACGCCACCTCACAACACGCTGGTACTACCTTTCTGGATCTCAGTGGTGGTCCTTTGGGATACTTCTTTTATCCCTCCCTCTTGACACTTCCCCCTGGGCTATAATCTGAACTGTGGCCAGAGGCCTGCTTGAGTAGACCCCTAAAAGCAGGTTAAAGCCTTTCACAAGTAGGATTTTGCCTTGATTAAAGTGTCTCTCCCAAGAGCTTTCAAGACCACTTGTTTGCATCTGAGGCCCCAAGTCTCACTGCAGTGTAAGCACCACAACTGACTTCATCGGCCCTCCGCAGGTGTCTGTGGTGCTTCACTCCAGTGACATGTCAGCCTGTTCCTGGCCACCCACGAACTGATGTTCAAACCTGGTGTTCTGCAATTTAATACATGGCCAAATCTTTAAAGAGTATTTTCATACTTATTGCATGACATCATTAAGGGCAACAAGAAAAACTTCTACAGGTACACTGGGGATAAAAGGATTTTTACAGGGGCCTGTAGGGACAGGCCAATGGGAATGGCTTGAACCTGCCAGAGGGGAGATTGAGATGAGCTCTGAGGCAGAAGCTCTTCCCTGGGAGGGTGCTGAGGTGCTGGCACAGGGTGCCCAGAGAAGCTGTGGCTGCCCCATCCCTGGCAGTGTTCAAGGCCAGGTTGGACACAGGGGCTTGGAGCAACCTGCTCTAGTGGAAGGTGTCCCTGCCCATGGCAGGGGTTGGAGCTGGAGGAGCTTTAAGCTCCCTTCAACACAAACCATTCCATGTGAAACATCCCATTGACTCTTAAAAGGTCTATTCCCATGGGGAAAGTTAACTTTGGGCTTCCACAGCAGCAGGCCTTGACCCACAACCCTACTTCAGCTTAAAGAAAATCACAGCAACTCCCTTAACCTGGAAAGCAGGAGGGGGAAAATCCCAAAGCTCTGGAGAAAAGGAAATGCTGACACTTTCCAGTCAGGCCCGTTTTACATCCCCACTTCACTTGAAGGCTCAAGGTGTGTTCCAGGGGATTCTGCTTCTCCCCCCAGAATCTAACAAGGCCCAGTTAAGTCTGTTCATACCTCATGTGGGTTTTAAGTGCAGAAGGCTGAGAAAATTTAGCCTCACACTCTGTGCACCCATAAGGCTTGTCGCCTGTATGCGTCCTTTCATGGAGCCTCAAGGCAGTTTTGGAGCTCAACCCCTTTCCACACTGTTGGCACTGATGACGCTCCCCACCACCCTCATGAACCTGGAGAATGTGCCTCTTGACGTCCTTCTTCCTCTTGAACTTCTTACCGCAGAGCTCACAAGGGAAGTGGCGCTCGCTGCTGTGGACGTGCCGCTGGTGGCTTTTGAGGTTGCAGCGGTTGGCAAAGGTCTGGCTGCAGGTCTCACACCGGTAAATGACCTCGGCTGCGATGCCGTGGCTGTGCTTGATGTGCTTCAGGAAGCTTTTCTCGTACAGGAATTCCTTCTCGCACGTGCTGCACTTGAAGTTGCTGCCGCGCTTCTTTTTATCCTCTTCGGATTTCTTCAGGCTTTCCTCTGATCCCAAGTGGCCATCACACTCCTCGCTCTCAGGTTTGATGTTGTTCTCCCCTTGCTCCTCCTCATCCCTCTCCAGCTCACACATCTCCTGATCTTGAGGATACTTGCTGTCTTCAACAGCAACCTCCGCGTTCTTCTGCTGCTCTCTCAGCCGCCTCGTGTATTTCTTCTTTGGGATTTCCACAAACACTTTCCTCCCAGCCAGCCTCCCACTTGCTCTTCTGATTTTGGCATAAGGAGGCTTCATCAGTTCCTTCTTTTTGTCCACTTTCTCTTTTGGTTTGGCAGCTGGAGGCTCAGGAGCCATTCCATTGCTGGGCCTGGCTGCTGGGGAATCTGGGGGATCCAGGGCACAGTCTTCCTGGTCAGCTCCGGCCACAGCTTTGGGCTCCAGCAGAACACTTGGCTGGGCAGCACTCTCTTCCTCAGAGTTCTGTGATTCTGAGAAGTTTTGCAACTCCAGCAGCACCGACTCCAGCATCTGCTTCTTTAACTGAAAGCAGGTTTCTGAGAGGTCCAAGCACTTCAGCTTTTCGGCTATTTCAAGCATCCGCTGCACTCTGTCCTCTTCCACTTCCACCCTGGCAGTGTAGACAAACTCAAGGAATGAGGCAAAATCAGCAACCTGGACCTCGTTGAGGAACACGTTGGTCCTGGGGCCATCCATGCCCTTCTCGTTAAGGAACACCTCCTTGAAGAACTTGCTGGTTGCTGCCAGCACAGCTTTGTGAGCAACGAACTCTGCCCTGACGCCCTGGTACTCCACACTGACCGTCACGTCGCAGAGGTGGCCCAGCAGACGCAGCTGGTGCATTTCATTCAGCAGGTTGATAGGAGAGGACTTGGACTCCAGCAACACTGCATTACTTTCCATCTTTCTTCTCTCTGCAAAAAGCTGTCAACAACATCATCCGTTAGCTATTTGCATGGAGGATAATAAAACTCAGATTTCAGCAGCCAAAAGTCACATCCAGACTTTGGAGAGTGCTTCACGTGAGATTTAAGCACTTAGGATCACAGAACCAACTGGGCTGGAAAAACCCTTTCAGCTCATCCAGCCCAACCATTCCCAGCAGTGCCAAGGCCACCACTAACCCCTGGCACTGAGGCCTCGGCTCCACGGGCTGTGAACACTTGCAGGGACGGTGACTCCAGCCCTGCCCTGGGCAGCCTGTTCCAATGCCTGAGCACCCTCTGGGCAAGGAATTGTTCCTCAGCTCCACCTAAACCTGCCCTGGGGCAGCTTGAGGCCGGTTCCTCTTGTGCCATCCCTTGTTCCTTGGGAGCAGAGACCAGCCCCCTCCTGGCTCCATCCTCCTGTCAGGCACTTGCAGAGAGCGATCAGGTCCCCCCTGAGCCTTCTCTTCTCCACACTAAACCCCCAGGTCCCTCAGCCCTTCCCCATCACACTTGTGCTCCAGGCCCTGCTCCAGCTCCGGTGCCCTTCTCTGGCCCCGCTCCAGCACCTCAATGTCTCTCTTGGAGTGAGGGGAAGCCCAGTCACTCAAAGTGCTTGAGCTCAGGAGAGCACTGTGAGAAGCACAGGTTTCAAAAGCATCACCCTCAGCAGCTGTATCTCAGAGCACACCACCAGTCACACACACAGAGTTCTCTGAAGTTAATTTGAGTTTAAATCTCAACCCTAATTCTGCCTGAAACACTATTAGAGCCTGTAACAGGGACAGAGCAAACAGAGGAAGATCAAAGGAAATGTGCTCATTAGGGTGGAACGAAGAAATTATTCTGCCTCCTAATCAGGCAGTAAGAGAAAGGTGAGATTAAGTACAAGTTAACTGGGATCCTAAATAAACACTTCCTGCAACAGGCTTTTGAGATAAGCCTTTAAACAGGACTCAGATGAAATTCCAAATGTTAACTGCCTAAAGGCTGCACAATATTCACAACTGGAAAAGGTAAAACTTGCTCAGGGTTTTCTTCTTTAAAGACTTCATCACCCAAAAGAGCCAAAGCCTCTAAGTTTGGAGTGACCTTTTGCAGCCTCACAAGGGCTTCAGTCTCTACTAGTGTTCAGGTTCTGTTGTATTTCTCAGTAATGATTTAAACTGCTCCAAAGTTCTCAAATGAACCGAGTTTTCTTCTTTACCAATGTCTGATCCCAGAACAAACAGTATTTCTATGAGCTGAAGATGCTCTGAGCAACACCCCCCCCACTCAATAGTTTTACTGTGTTCCCAACAACATCATACAAATATGTTTTGAATCTGAAGAATTTCTTTCCACTTCCTAAAAGTTAGCTGACGTTTGTCTTCTCTGTACAGTAACTTGCAGCCTTTGATACATGGGACATGAAAAACGTTGCTCAGAAAGAGAATCAATAGAAACGGAAGAAGATTTGTACTGATGTAACAGTGAGGGAGACATATTAAGCATGGAAAGGACATGGGAATAATATTCACAGCATCAGGCAGAGATGCTGTGTCTTCTCCCATAGTGCTGGAAAGTCAAGTTTCAGTCCACCCTCAGTGCAGCAGCCCACAAGCTGACTCACATCCCAACACAGCTGTCTGTGAAAACTGTTCTGAGGAAGTATTCTGAAGGAGCTGTACAATGGAGAGGGACAAAATACACAGATCCACGGAGATGACTAGTGCCCAGGGAAAAGGAATGCTTCATGGACTTGATGCTACCCAAGGCAAAGAGCCAGAGGGAGCCCCTGCCTGAGGGGTTTACAAATAAGGCAGCCCTGAGGGAAACAGAATCATTTCCCCACCCTCATGCAACAAGCAATTGGGAGAACAGGGGACACGACTACCACAGGCACCCAAAACTCCACCTGAGATTCTGCAGAAGTAGAACCAAGCCTTTCCTATATCCCTTTGGATCATCAGCTCAGCGAGCTTACTCTTAACATTTAAACAGTTAACATTATTCTACCAAATAGCTAAACCCCACTGCTAGTGAGTTGCACTTACTACACCTAGAACAAAAGACCCCAGAAGGGGATAAGAGTTGCCTGGGCCAGCTCAGAGCTCTCTCAGAGCTGACCACTCTTACAAGCAAACCCCAACGCTGCACTTCAGTGTTGACAGAAACGAGGCTGAGTTAAGCAAAGACTCACTGAATGCTCTGTCTGAAATGATGACCTCAAAACGTAAGTTTTCCCCCAAAACAATGATTTTTCAACTGTTTCTGGTATTTCACAACTATCCAGCACAAGCTGGGGTCACGTGTAGGTAAGAGCAATCTCCAGCAGGAAACAAGAACCCAGACCACAAATTTCTCCTTTGGGGCGAGCAGGATCAAGTGTCCCCTGCGAGCTGTTTGTTACAGGAGCTGACCTCAGGCACGTGTGTTACAGACACATGGTGCTGATCCCCTCCTTCCTAAGGCTGCAAAGCAGAAACCTCCTGTTCTTCCCACTGTAGTGTCTGTAGAAGCAAAAGCCACTGTGAAAACAGAGCCCTTGCTCCCATCCAGCTTCCCAGCTGGAATATGGGAGGAGCATATTCCCAGAGGAGGAGCACTAATCCAACATGTACAGTAAGATACGGTGTGCTGTGTGGGTTTTACTCCTGTGGGAAGCGCACTGAGCACCAGGCTGGCAGGACATGGTCCACAGAAGCACAATATATTCATCTTAAAGAAGACAAGGGCTGAAAATCTGCAGCCAGGGCCTGCTCACCAGGACCAGCCTCTAGAACTGAGATGCAAAGAGAAGCAACTTGGGTATAAGGTCAGTTGCCATGAACGTGTCCCCCTCCAGAGGCAAAACTAGCTGAAAAGAGAGAAGAGCCAGCTAGATCTAACAGATCACAGACTCACAAGCGTGTCCCTTCTCCTGCACCAGCAATTGCGCAGTCTGCGAAGAGACACTACTGCCAGGCACCAACCTGCCTCATTCAGGATCACTCCAGCCACCGAAGCTACAACAGCACCACAACCACCGGCACGGTCAGCGGCAGCAGCAGTTAAACCTGCAGAGGACAGTGCACTGCAGTGAGCCCCCAGTGTGCCTGTTAGATGAGAGGCCAGAGCTCCCCATGAAGACCCTGACCCCAGACCAGGAGGCTCCTGCACGGAAGGGAGAAGGGGCATTGCCACATG